TTAGTAAGAAGCTGGTGAGAAACTTTGCGAGATAACATATCATGCATGTTTGAATGACTTTTTAAAGTCATGAAGGCGGCAGGAGAAGCGAAAGTATTTGCCACCTGAGCTGTGCAGAGCATCGCAATAAAGCACTTTAAATCACTGTGGTACAGATCTGTTATTAAATACAATTTTAAGAGTGTTCTGCACTGAAACTCAAAAATGTTCCATTTCTGACACAAATTCAAAGACTTACTGCTTCAAAACAAACCTGCTTTTCCAAATTAAGACGTGTGTGTATGTGTGTGTGGTGGTGGTGATGGGGGGGCTAACGGTATTACCAGGCCAGAATCTCATGGTTATGCCAAACACTGTGAGGTGAATAATGATTGTTTTCTTGTCGCTTGGGAACAGCAGAAGCATGTAGTAAGCACAGCTTGGCCTTCGGGTCTGAAAAGCAGAGGCAATGCAAAACGTGTCTTTAATTTGTTATAATGACCAGCAGGGGGAGACTCCTCTGGTTACAAACAAGCAGTGAGATTGTATAGAAACCTATATGAAAATAACTATATTATAAATCATCTGATTTGTGACTTTCATTAAACACTTTGCAACAAGAACAATCAAAGACTGCATACTCCTGATGAAGTGGAAAATTTCCAGTCTCTGCATCCAAAAGGCTAGGCTAGCTCCATCTAGGCTAGCTCCATCTAGGCTAGTTTTAAGTATTGTCTCGAAGATCAAGACAGCATTACCCATTTTCTCTTCCATCAGTCTAATATTTTTTGTGACGATATAGTGGGAACTTTTTGCCCAGAGATAAATAATTGTTTGTGCAAATCTGTCCATGACTTTCTTTAGACTGATCATTCTGAAAAACAAACCAAGCCAAGCACAAAACCTTATTGGTGGAGTTGCTTAGTATAAGCCTTCTTCAGTACAGTAACGAATGCTCACAATTAGAATAAACTGGAGGGAAAAGAAGGGTGTGTTTGTTGGACTGAAATGCTAGCTACCAGGTTTTCGTCCTAACATTCTGAAACTTTAAATTTGACATTTTAACCATGGTCGTCCAGGTTTTGGGATTAGATGTCGTGAATAAGAGGTCAATCAGACCAGCAAGCCAAAAGCACCATTAGCTTATGTGGTAGTGATCATATAAATAGATGATATAACAGGGTCTGCTTTCTCATTAAACTTTAAATTTCACTGTAGTTTATCAAATGAGCACCTTACTATAATAAGAAAGCTTTTCCACTAGTCATTTAAACTGTAAACTATTTAGGAAAGTGCCTGCTGAGTTCATAAATCAAGTTGCAGCCAGAGGAGTCTCCCCCTACAGGTCATTAGAAATAATGTAATTTTATGATAGAGTTTCGTTAGAGATTCGTTGAACAAGAGACACATGCAGCCATCAGCACCAGTAAACTGCACAAGACCATCTTTTTAATGCATGGCGGTTAACATCCAGAGGCTAAACTTCTTTCATTCTCAGCCACGGTGGTTACCACTTGGGCAATAGCTTTATTTTATACTGCTTGATTATATAAAAATTCCTTTGCAGCTAGAGCTTGCTGAAAAACAGCTTGCCAAGATTGAAGCTGGTCAAATTGGAATGCCAGTAGCCTACATAGTCATAATCAAACAAACCAGCATTTACATTTAGACGCTATTACACAAGTGTCTGACAGGAATGACAATGGCTGTGTTCGCCGTGTTGCGTTGGGTATCTAATGAATTAAGAATCATAATTTAATTTGTGTTTGTTTAATTTAATTTGCTGTTAAGCATAATCTGGCTCAAGACTTTCAGCGGTGAGAAGCAGCTACAGCAGTAGTACCGTTTTCTAATTTAAGCACCAGCACCGAGGACAATACTTTTACTTGCTTTACTTCATATACTCCCTTGCTTCTAATAATAATAATATGTTAAACCTATATATAATTCTAGGCTGTTGATTTGCGCATGCATGCACAAGCCTTTTATTTGCATTTTTAAATGCACTTGCTGGTTTTATTGTATTAGATAAAACTGAACATCCCTTTGTTTGTGAGATTGCTGAGCTGTACTACACTCAGTGCTTACCTAACAAAGTAGTCATCTGCAGGCAACTCCCAAGGAGCTGCTCTTGAATTGGAAATCTCTTTGGACAAGAACACAAACACCAAAACGGCTTATGCATTTTGCATCTCGTCTCTGAGCCGACCGTGGTGTAAATTTCTGTGACAAAGCACAGTTATAACTCTTAACCTCCGTGTGCTTACAGGACCGATAGCTGATCATATAGCTTTTCTTAGTTCCTCTCCACTTCTCCCTTAAATGCCCTGACACGCTGATGCTCCTGATTTACCACTTCACTGAACCCTAACCATGACATTTCCTCTGCTGCCAGGGGTTGCTTCCTCCTGCTTTTGCCCCCCTCTGCCTGTCTGTCTCCCTCCGCCTCTTCCTCCCTCCTACTTATTCCAATTCCTACTCCTCTTGCTTTGCTATGTGTCTCATAGCATCTCTAAATATATCCCAGCATGTCTACCTCCTCTCCTTCCTCTTCCTCTTTCTGCCTCCTCTTCATCGCAGTCCTCTCTGACAAATTTTAAGCGTGCCTAGACAATCTGATCTGACATGTCTTTACATAACAATCCAATCCATGACACCTCCCATCCCCTCTGCATAGTTGGACCCAAAAGTGTGCTACTGGCATCGATACAGTTCTCGGTATCCTTGAAATCATCAGAATGTTATTATATCTGTGGAACCAGTCTTGACTTCTTCTATTTTGAATGTTCAGATGCGTTTCTAAGAGTCACAACAGCTTAGCACGGGATGATCAGATGTGACCTTAGCATTTTCATGACGCACACACACACACACACACACACACACACACACACACACACACACACACACACACAGGAAAGAGAATAGGAGCAAAACCTTTGCAAAGAGACTATGGTACATCCTAAACAATAACTGCTAAGAGTTACGACCCTTGCTAGGATTATGCCACTGCACACCTTCCACCTCTTCCCTGGTGATTTATCTCTTGTCTGCCAATAAAGCTCAACATGGAAATGTCACATGTGCAAAAGAGCTGCCCTCAGCCCTAGCGGTAAGCCCATGCAGCATTAAGAGAGGGATTCATTAAACTGTCAGCGTAAATTTTGATCCGAGGGTAGTTTGCAGAGTGAGGGGGATGAACTGTGGAAAGCACTAGACAAAAAGAGGCAGCAGAAGAGATTGCTGCAAAGCATTCGGTAGATTGGGAAATAAAGATAGAAAGATAGAGCTGAGAGTGGGTAAAAAAAGGAGAAGGCCAGATGGGAGAAAGATGAAAGGAAGGTGTGCTCAGGGTGACACGTCCAGAATGAGTAAGGGTAATGGCCCTATGATACGTAGAGGGAAATCTGTCAGGGTGAAGGTTGAAAGGCTGCTTCGTACAAGAAATGGGTAGACCATCGACCGGAGTGAAATTGGATATTAATGAAAAACACAGGAAGGGTGGAACCACTAATTTATCCAGGGAGAAGTGAGGAAAGGAGAAATCACCATCAAGGTCAAATGAACAGAAGTTTCTATGCTATAGATGAACCGTAGCTTGTGTTCTTGAGCCTCCGTAGTGCACCGTCACCCACGCCCGCATCTGAAAAAATGTGTACCTCAACTCAGAGTCATTTGTTTTTTTCCGGTGATTCATAGTTAAGCGGCTCATCTGTATACATGGCGGCGATAAGAAAGTAAAATGAGAAGGAATCCCGCGGTTTGTTTCTAAATCCATTAATATATCACAGTGTGCATGGTTGATATTTCCCCTCAAGGCTCTATCTGCTGTGACTTTAATCATGATTAATCCAAATAACCATGTTTTTAAAGAGGTTGACGGGAGGGAGGGAGGGAGGGAGGAGGGTGGGGGCAGTTGTGCCAAAGATCCTCCTCTTCAGTGGAAAGAAAAGAGAGGAAAGCGAGGAAAACAGTGGATGTAAATAAAAGTGGCAGCCCCTCGGGTATCTCTCTCCCTAAATAACCTGGGAGCTGTGAAGGAGTCACTAATTACCCCTCCCACAGAAGATGGGAGGGTGGGTGGGGTGAGGGGAACAGAGTAACAGCCAGTCACACTCGCACAACAGAATTAGCCCGAGCCTGTCAGTGTCAGAGGCTATCACGGGGAGATAACGAGGAACAGATCCATAGATCGTGTAAGGCAAATGACAGCATCACGCCCGGCTGCCTGTTTCGCAGACAGGAAATGAAGTGATATATACTGCATGTATCAAGGCCATAGATCGTCAAAAACAGAGCACGGAATCGGGGTGACGAGAACATACTACTAACTGCAGCATGGTGGACAGACTGTCACAAAATGACCAGATGAATCAGAGAGGATGTCACCATGGCAGATCATCAAGAACTGATAACAGGGCAACAGACTGTAAAACATGGAGGAAAAAGAGAAATCCAAGGAATACGACAACAGTCGTACTGTGTGCCCATGAGCAGAAGTGATACTCAATGCAAAAATTATTGCTGTCACTAAAACACGGCTACTTTTAACAATACTGAGAGGAAAGAGCGTAAAAAAGGAATGAAACATTATACACCCCCCTTGGCCAGTGTGAATAGGCCTTAATTACAATCTCTTTTCACTTGTTTTCAGTTTACATTTCTCCACTGCTGATGATACACCGAGCCTTTTTCTCTCTCTCTTTTCCAACCTCCATCCTTTCAGCACTTTTTCTGAATTCATGTCTCCTTTTCCCATTCTGTGTTGACCCCCGCTCTCATGCATTTCAAAATAGCTGCCTATCTTACATCTTCTTCATTATCCGGAGGAACGAGCACATTGTGTTTCGATGGAAACTGAAGCACAATAATATGGAAACAATTACAGTCTCTTATTCGTCTCTCTCTTTATCTTTCTCCTCTCTTTAGGAACTCATGCTGCCTTCGACCATGAGAGAATGAGTCACGGAGAGAAGAGCTGAGAAAAGAAAGAAGCAGACAGAGAAAAAGAAAGTGATAAAAAAAATTTAAAAAAGGAAGCAGAAGAGACCAAAAAAAAGTTAAAAAAGACCAGATCATTATGGGAACGCAGTCAAGCCAATCCCGTACTTTGGCCATCCAATCTCCTGTGGGCCCAGGGGACAAAGCAGGTGGAGAAGGACAGGCTGCCAAGTAGACCAGCCAATGTGATGGACAGACAAAGGATAGGCTGCATTCCCTTCCTCTCCACTTATCTGCAGGTAACCTCCCTGGCCTCTGCAAGAGTTCTTCTTGCTGGAACGTTAAAGAGAAATGTGAATAAGAGGCAAAAAAAATACATGTACAACTTCAGAAGACATGAAACAGCATGGACATTTTAAAGAATATTTGATGCTGCATATATTTATTTTTATATAAGATTTTAAAGGGAAGTTTAAGACAAGTTTTCTCACAGATATCTATACTATACCTTGAATTGGGAAAATGGTAATCCATCTTTTCTTGAGGACAATCTTATTTGCAAAGGAAGTCCTTGGTGTACAGATGAGCTGAGCAGCTAAATGCAATACTGTATAGAGACTGCTACATCTACAGTATTTTCTGGGATGAAAGTGAAACGTAGTCAGTCAATCGTATAGATCTCTCACTGTTACACTGAATATATAGTGATGGAGCGATCGCTTTCCTTGTTGACACACTAACACAAGAGATTCTCCACAACAGCAACCTGCCTTCACAGTGTGTGGATGTTGTGGGAGCGACAGAGGCTGGAGAAATGGTGAGCAAAGAGCCTGACCACTTGCTCACAGGCCAGACCAATGGCAAGAGCAGCTTGGCAGACAAGTTACCTGGGACAATGACCGTGCGCTCTGTGCTTCTCAATCGAGACTCCCCCGATATCGAAAGTCGCCTCAAGCGGCGCCGCAACCGCACCCACCAGGTCCGCTTCAAAGACCTGGAGGATGGTAGCAGCAGCAGTGGCAATAGTGGAACAGGGGAAAACAATAGCCATCAGAAGCCTGTCAAAGACTGTGACAGTCCACATCCTCTTCGCAAACACAGCAGCAGGTCCCCCCTGCCATGGACTGACAGGGACAGGCCACAGACCAAGGATCTACCTGGCCAAACCTCTGTGGTTGGGGCTGTGCGTGGTGACATGGCGAGCACTATAGAGGTGGTGGCTGCCTTTTTAGCTCGAGCGCCTCCTCATCCATTGACACCTGGTCCTACACGTCGAACCTGGGCACCACCGCAGGCTAACTCCCTAACCTTGCCAATGACACGCAGGCCGAGTACAAGCACCAGCACAGCCATTCAGACCTCCCCATGCCTGAAAAAGCCCCAATCTCTCCCTTCCTCCCACACTCGTAGCCACAGCCTTGGGGACTCAGTTGGGGTGGATGGGGATGACGAACATGACTCTCAAGACGAGTTCCTTACTCACAACCATGTGTTGTTACCTGCGTCCAAAGATCAGAACGGCCCTCCTGGCCCAGGGGAGCGAACTGTGGTGGAACGAAGGTCTAAAGTATCAAGGACCGAAATTAAGTCTGCTGTAAAACCCTCAAGGCACAGCTGCCCCCCTTTAGTCCTTCAAAATGCTGAGCCATACCACTGTTCCTCTGTATCCTGCCGAGATGGCCCCAAACGTCAGGGAAGCAGTACTCCCTCAGCGATCAGGAGGAGAAAGCGTCTAAATAGGACAACGAGTGATCCTGGAAAGGAAGTGCACTACTGCACCACTCCCACACAGACTGAAAGTCCCCGTCCATCCCCATCCCCTTCAAATACCAAACTCTGTACCACTCAAGTTCAGACTGAGAGCCCACCCCCTCCTTTAAGTTCAAGGTACAGCACCGCCCAGAGTCAAACTGAAAATCACCATTCTCCACCTTCAAGTGAGGAACAATGCACAACCCAAATTCAGACCACCAGTACCAATCCAACCCTACCTCTGAATGCTCAACAGTGTACCGCTCAAATACAAACAAGCTCTCCCAGTCACTCTTCTCCTGATCGTAAACTTTCCACTACACAGACACAAACTAAAAGCCCGTTTGCTTCCCCACCTTTAATACCATCACCCAGCTCAGTGCAAATTCTGTGCAAGCCTATATCCCCAACAGTGACTCCAGACCCTCCTACTACCCAAACAACTACTGTGCCTTATTGTACATCTCCCCCACCTACAAGTGCACCAATACAAACTCCTGAGCACTGCACAAAGCTACCTTGTACTTCTCCAGCCAAGTTAGCTTCCACAACCCCACCTCCTCCCAAAGCACTTTCCATTCCTTGCGCCACTTCTGTACCTACTGTTACCCAACTCCCAGTCCCCTATTACACTGTTGTGTCCCCACCAACAACACCCAGCACAGCCGCAGTCTGCTCCAGTGCTTCTTCAGCTGCATCGCCATGCCCCACCCAAAACTGCACCCCCTTTATGTCAAACGTGGTGTCATCCCCTCAGTTAACCCGCTCCACCTCTACCCCAACTATAACACCCATTGTAACTCCTGCTGATCCCACCAAACAGCCAACCCCTGCCCCAAATGTAATACATCAACCACCATCAGCAGCATCAAATGCTACACCTTCATCAAATGTAACTCCCTGTACATTTGTTACTCAAACTGCCATATCTTGCACATCCATATCATATTACACAACTACACATGCAGTTGGTCCCCATGCACCTCACTTGAACCCAACTGCACCTTCTTATGCCACAGTTATTCAAACTGTCTCTCATTGCAACATCCCATGTCAAACTTTGCAAAATACCTCTTCTGCTTGCACAGGCATAACCCCTTATTCCTCCCCCGTCCCAAAACTGAAATCTTGCACTTCTCCGCCTCCGCTTGTGAAAACCTATGCGTCCACTCTTGCAAATGTTCAACAATGTGCAACACCAACTAAAGCCATTCCTCTGTACTCTTCCACATTTCGTGCTGCACCACCATACACCCCCCCTTCTCAGACCCCGTACAATGCTCAGGATAAGAGGGGCATTCGACTTCCACCTCCTCCTCCACCGCCACCACCATATACACCACGAAAAAAGGGAAATGATCCGCCAGGTCCTGCAGTCCGAACACCCATGCTCAGGGCAGACAGCAAGGTCAGCAACAAAGATAAAGATAGAGAGAAGGAAAAAAAGGAGGATATAAAAGACTCACCAAAGCTCTGTGAGAGAGCCAGCTCTCTGAAGCACAGAGCTCAAACTCCGCCAGTTGCTGTGATGAAGGGAGAGAAGCAGTCCTCCTCCTCCTCCTCCTCTCCTGCCAAGGCCTGTTTTAAGCCCAGCTGTCTTAGCTCAGCCCAGGCTCAGCTTGGGGCCCTACACAAAATGCTCTGCTCAGGAGCCAACGTCAGGCCGAACACCCCCAACAGCCAACACGCTCTCCCTCCAAATCAGCAGGGATGCTCTGGATCCAGGGGCTGCTCTGCTTCTGGGGGGCGGCCTACAGCTGGGCCCCTGACTGCCACCCAGGCTGATACTCTGAGACAGGTCCAGGAAATTCTGGGAGGGTTGGTGTCTGGGGCCAGGTGTAAATTGGACCCATCCAGGGTTACAGAAAAGCTCTTGAGTCCCAATGGCCCCCTGCATGATATTCGTAGCTTGCAGACTCAACTTCACAGCCTGGAGGGGGTCCTGGAGACCAGCCAGAACACCATTAAGGTCCTGCTGGATGTCATTCAAGACCTTGAGAAGAAGGAAGCTGAGAGAGATGGGTGAGGCTATATTTAATTTCAGTGAGACAATTTACATAATGAAAAAGTGAACCTGCTTTGAATGTTATTAGACAATTAAATGACTGTTATCAGTTGTCACCCACAGATCACGCGCACCCTGCTGTACCCACTAGTAAGCCAGGAGGTGCAGTATCATTCTTTCTGATCACTGGTTGACAGAAAGTGACTTTTATGTAAGCCACATGAATAACACATAAACTCTCCAGTGTACGTTTCACCCTGGTAAGACAGAAAACTGCGACTTCTAAATTGTGATTATTATGAACAAGTCTGTTTAAATTAAAACTATGATTTTTAAGTGCTTCACTTGAGACTTTGGTGACTTTGGGGATTACTATAACATAACCAAACAACCAGTCAACAATAAACTTCATATCAACAGTAATAGAAAACAAAGAGAAAGCACAAGTCTCATATGCACCTGGGTTCATCTGATTTATAAAGCAATAATGTACTACTAAGCCTATTTGTTGATGATCTACTGGCTGTATTTTTTTGCCACAATAACAACTGATAATTGACATTTTACAGTTTCTCTCAAACATAGAAAAAACACCATAGTTAACCTGCAAAAGACTGTAACGTGACCCGAACCTTTCAGAATAGGCTTTTGTCTCAATGAATAAGTTACTCCTGCCAAAAAATGACAAGCTCATTTGACACTGTGTAAACCAGAGTCATCAGAATGTTTCGGTATTTGGTCGAAATAACTCTACAAGTGATTTCCTCATCTTCTAATTTCCCTAAAAAGTTTTGTTCTACGTGATTCTATTGACAGTGTTTCTATTGACTATATTGCACTCGGCTTATTTTCCTGATGATAACTGAGTGCTGTTGTGTATCAAAGTGAATTCAGATGATTTATCATGCAGTGTTTATTGCATACTTTGTAGAGCAAAAGTACACATACATTAGCATGTAATGTGATGAATAAAAATTTCCTGCAATTATCATACAACATAGTAAATTGCAGTAAACAGACCGTAAAATGTAAACCTAATTGCAAAGACACCCCCCCCACCACCACCACCACCACATAGATTGTCATCGCTTTAAGCACATAGCGTGGAAACAAGACACGGTTTTCTAGTATTCTACATCAATAAACAGTGCTGGAATCACTGGACATCCTGTTACTCTGTTGGCCACAGATTCTCAGCCACCTCACACCTAATGTGTTCGCTTTCAGTGTAAAAGAGAAAGAACCATTGAATGCCGCATCCGTCCTCTGCACTCTCCTGGATCTTCTTACATTCATGGCAGGCTGCTTGCCCTATGAAATGAGTTGGCTCTTCAGTGTTAACAAACTGTTGTAACTCTGTTGCTCTCAAGCTCTATAAAATATGTACATACACCTGGATCACCAGATTTTGGTTTTCTGGTGGACTATTCTGCATTTAATGACATACATAATAAAGTGCAAAACTATTTTTAAAAAAATGGTAAATGGCCTGTATTTGTATAGTGCTTTACTAGTCCCTAAGGACCCCAAAGCGCTTTACACATTCAGTCATCCATCTATTCACACACACATTCACACACTGGTGATGGCAAGCCACATTGTAGCCACAGCCACCCTGGAGCGCACTGACAGAGGCGAGGCTGCCGAACACTGGCGCCACCGGGCCTTCTGACCACCACCAAACACAAAAAAGTCTGCTTTTAATTACAAAGACATGCCAAGGTTGTTAGCTATTTGCTTAAATGTCCTAAAAGATATTAGCAAATGCTAAATAACAGACGATAACAAAGAGAAATACTCTCTTTGATGTGCATACATTTAAAGCTGAAGGTTTTCAGATATTGTGTGTGACAGTTTGGACTGTTATTGAAGAATTGAGCCAAAGCAACTGGGAACAACCGAAGCTTGTTGAGCCCAAACTCTAAAAATATGCAATACACATACATGCGCAGATCTTACATGACAGCAGGGTCAGCACATTTTAATAGTTTGCTGGACTGTTCCGCAAGTAGAGCTCATTTCCTGAGCTTGCTATTAAAAAAGGCTGTTGGCCTTTTTAAAAAAATCACACAGTCTGGAATTTAATTCTAGAAATTTCACACACTAGTGAAGATGGCCCCGGATCACACCATTGTTCTTTGGCACCACGTGCCCAAGGTGGTTTCCAAAGGTAGTGTTACCAGTAGTGTGAAAGGTGCTGCTGCCTGGGGTTAAATCAAGAGCCTCAAAAGGGCTTGTTTGGTTTTAAAAGTAGTGTGAAAGCCCTGGGCTAAAAGAGGAGCTATCCCACAACTGAAGCTGTAAATATGAAATGACTGCAACCCTTGGGCTAATGGAACTGTAAACCCAAGGCTACCAGAGCCTTGCAGCACAGTTCCAAGCACAGTGTGAGAAGCCATCTGTTAATTTTTAACAGTCAATCGCTCAGCCTTTATTAAATTTAGAAAGATGGATAGATGGATAGATATCAAAGCCAGACATAACAGCGCTTTGCACTAATAGACTGTCTCTTCTCTCATGGAACGGAGCAGACAAGTGGGTTGTTGTAGACAGATTATTCTTCACCAAAAAGGGAATATCCACAGCCCAGCAGTAATAACTTTCCAGCATCGTGTGCTCTGAATATTACAGATAGATGGTTGTTGCGCCTAAGCCTTGCTGTGATGAAGCTCCTCTATTTATAGCCAATCCCCCTACTGCACACAGTGTCAATACAAAGCTCTGTGGACAGAACACAATATAAATTTGGTCAGAGTGAAAAAGGCAAAAGCTAAAACGGCAGGTTGAGCGACAGAAAGAGGAAAACGCAACACCAGATTGAGCACAGCAGAAAGCAGGGGAGCATCTGTAGTTATTTTTACGACGTCTCATGTCAGTCAGGCAAGTGTCAGCTCTCAATATGCTGAGGAACTGATCTCATGTCAGACCACGGGGAGGCTTATGGGAGTTTGGGCGCACCTATTTCGCGAAGCCTTGTTCCTCATGCATGTATGCAGCAGGCGGGAGAGATTGTCATCAAGTGGTTTCAGATGCTCCATGCCTCTTTAGTGTAAAGCCATTCTCATCAAGTCTTTAATTAATCTGCTTCCTACATTGTAAGCAGCTTAGTAATTTCTTCTGCCTTATCATTCCAAAATAGTACATGTTTGCGGGGGAGACGCGAAAGAAAAATCATGGATACACAGGAAGGGATGCGTGTCTGTGAATCCATGGAAAGACTTGACTGATGTCTGAGCAGCGTAATCCAAATCACAGTGTTAACACTAATGCCAGCCCTTTGAAGACATCTGAACATGTGACTGAACAGCCTACTGTCTCATAAAGTGACACATCTTGCATGTTCCAGTATTTAAATTCAGTCCCCGGCCTTGTGCACGCAGACTTGACTTCTACCTCATAAGCATTATTTTATGCCTGGAGTGATATAGTGACTCATGGTTTACGTAACCGACCGAGCCCGTTGGAAGGGGTATCGTTCATTAAAAAATGATCAGGGGTGATTTCAGGGAGGAGATTGGTTTATATTCAGGACTTCGTGTGCCAAAAATTCGACTCAGCGAGGGAAAAATGATAACCTCTATATGTCTTTGTGGGCTCACACAAACACAAAACCATTCCTCTTTTATTTTGTTCCCCTGATATGTCATCTCTGCGCTTCTCAACAGAAGACATTCCTACAGAACCGGACAGGACATCGAGAACTGTGGGACCTGCAGGGACTGCGCGTGCATCATCTACAGGTACGTGGATGTATACGCATTTGGAAATCTGACTGTTTATTGCTTGCATCACACGTGAGCACCGAGAGCACAGAGCTTGTGTCGGTGCACAGTTATGTGCATCACGCTGTCACTTTGAGTCACATCAGAAGTTCAGTTTTATGGCTTGGTAGGATTGCCATTCTGCTCTGTGTGACAGCACGGACGGATATGAAGCACTCTGAGTATGGCCACTCGTTGCATAAACACCGCTGCCAGTTTTGATCACTGAACGCATTTATAAGAGCTGCATTAATCGCAATCATTCTCCTGCTCCTCCTCTAAATTAATAGGCTAAACAAGAAACACAGACTTAAGTCATGCACCTGTGTTCAAACCACTTTTTCCCCCCTCCCTCTCCCCTTTTTGCTCCTCTCATTTTTCAACTCTCGTCATCTCTCTTTTAGACACACACAGGCACTCACACACACATAGAGTGACTCCAGAATCATTCTGCTCTGAGATTTGAATTAAAACCAGTCAATTAACAAACAGGATTTCACACTTTGTGAGAGGGTGAAAAAAGAACAGAAAAGTGGGGATTGTGACAAAATTGAAATCCGTGTCTCCTGCTTGTACATGTCAAAAACTGTGGGGGAGGGGAGGGGGTCCTTCAGAGAGGAGACAAGAGGAGAAATGAAACCCATGATAGAATAGGAGGGGTGACAAGAGTGCTTGCATGCGTGGATGTAATTTGATTATGGCAGGATTAAAGCAGTACTCTGATTATTAAAACTTTCATTTAAACACCTCGGATGGGGGCTAAGAAATTATTTCATAAATCTGCGAACGAATAACTCAATTAAGGAGACAAAATTCATCATCAGTCTTTTTAATTGTGGTCTGGAGCGGCGAAAAGTGACATGCATTCACCTCAGACTGATTACTTCCAGTGATTCGATTCCGTGCCCACTCGCTCGTTTGTTATTTATTATTTTGCTTATTATTTCATTAATAAGGTGTTTCCTGTAGCTGCGACGTATCCTCGACCTTAACTCCATTATCAAGCAAATGGCATTATAACTGAAGCTTAGTTACTGTAAACCACATAAATGATTCAATCAAACTATTATCCTAATCTGATTGTGTTCAGTAATGTATTTATACTGTGTGTGGAGAGCCCCTCTGTCAAAACACATGGAAAAGACAGTGGGGGCGACAGTTGAGGACAAGAAAGCAAAAAAGAAAAGAAAAAACAGAGAGATCTAAGAGAAAAGAGAGATTTAAAATGAAAGATGAAAAGAGGGAGAAGAGGCCTATAAGAAAAGTGATTGAGTTGGAAGCTAAATAGGGGTTCATCTTGAAATATTGCCACATTACTCCTCAGGAATGTCTGAAGCAGCGACACTTCCTAATGTTAAAGTAAAAAAAGAAGAGAGATTCAAAAGTTATCACTCTGGGATGTTCTTCGCAGTTTTTTTTTCAGTTCTGAAATATTTGACTTAATACTGCGACCTGCCGATGACATCGCAAGCCTCGGTTTTATGGTCAGATGAGGACTTATCAGTCAATCTGCCGCCGAGTCGACATGTTTCTTTCCATGTGTGACAAGAGGATTTTCCTGCTTTGAAAGGGGGGGGGGGGGATTCTCTTTTCTCTGCGACTCAAGTAGAGCCGAGTTTAGAAAAAGAGAAGTTGGCAGCAGTACAGAAGAAGGTGAAGATAAAGCGTAGCCTGAAAAAGTGAGTGATGGAAAAGCCCTGAAATCTGACAAGGCAGATTTCATCAATTAAGAAGCTTCTTGGAATCTTAGTCTTCGAAGAAAAGCCCAGCTCAGCACGCCGCACTCTGTCAATCTAGTTGAAAAGCTGAGATGGGAGTTTATTCAGAAAAATGAATTCCATTTCAGAATTTTTGTGCAAGACTATTTGTCATTGACAATTCAGCCGCAACAAATTTTAGCCGAGTGATGTGACCGAGATTCATTTCAAAGCGAAATAAAGAGTATTTATTTTCACGGATCAGATAGGTACTTGTATAAAAAGCGTCGCGATAAGCTCGCAGGTCAATACCGCTACAATCAAACCATTGTTTTGGTTAGTTGGCCGGCAGCTCGTACATGTTCCTCAGGCATGTGGTGCTGGTGCTTAGCCTTTGATAAAAGTGGCTGCATGCTTGCCACATCGAAAAGGAGCCAGCAGAGGTTGTTTGCGATGGATGGATGGTTTGGTCGTTTGGGTCCAAAGTTCAAACTACTGACCTCAGTGGCTCTGTGAGGGTCTAAGGCAGGAAACTACACAAATGCAGATTTTTCTCCTGATGATTTTCTTCCTCCAGTAATGACCCCCAGCCTCCACTGCATAATGCAGTGTAATGTTCAGGTTTCAAACCTGCTAAAATGCGACCAGATTATTAAAAGGCACAGAGGCAGAGCTGGTGCCAGCACTGGCAGGGCAGCGGCAGAAAAGAGGACTTTTCTGCATTTTTGATTCACTGCACTCAAAGTGCTTTTTTTGGCTGTGCCACACAGCTGTTTCTGGTATGGACACAAGCTGAAACCATAGTATGTTTTTGTGTTAGATTTCATCTACATTTAATCTGATTTTTCTTCCATTGCAATTTTAAGGAAAGATTTTGAGTTAAATCTTATACCTGGTGTTGCTGAGCAAAATTGAGTTGAAAGACACAGTTCAGTTCAGTATTTGTCCTGAGTGATCCTGAAATCCAATTAACAATAATCATCAGTGTTTGGCTTACAGCTTGCAGGTGGAAAGAGTTAATGCAACGATACATTCTAGTAGAGAGTCTGCAGTTTTCAAACACAGCAATTACACTACGCTTTTGATCCTGTGTAGTAAGTGTTTTTTCTCCTGATTGCCTCAAAGGTCGAGAAAATCCATATTATTCTTTTCAGACTTTGCTTTTGTGACCAGGACAATGACATTTTTAAATTTAATTACTGGTTACCAAAGTGCAGTTTGAGGCGTAATCAATCAGAAATAACAAAGAAAAGAAAAAAGCATCCAACTTATTGTCTAGGAAAAAGTTATGTTACGTAATGATATGTGTAAGAGTGGGATTGTAAAACTTGGAGGAAAAAAAGGACAAAATCTAACCCTCACTTTAATGCAGGCACCAAGCTGGATATGATAAGCATCTCTTTAAAAAACATAAACACCTAACAACATCATGAATATGTTAAGCACAAAGTTGTTATGATACATGTGTATTTAAGCATGCCTTTGTGTGTTTGCGCACAGGGCTTTGTTCTCTAGTTTCTCAGGACATCGGCAGAGCTTATATCAAAATGCTAATGACACTTTAAGCATGCAAATGTAGATTCTAGTGGCTACAGAGAGAAACATTCTGAGCATTTTGTACCCAAACACGGTTCATAAACAAACACTTCATTTGTTCTGCCTTTTTTTAAGGTCTCATTTTACAGGACGAATAATGCATGATGTATCTGATGCTATTTATCCAGCACCACTGGCACATTAACTGCATATTAAAATGTGAATTCGATTGTGTGGCCATGCAGGAGTGTTAATTAGTGAATGCGTTTGTGATCCCCACCCCCTTCTCTCCCTGTTATTCTTTTTGCTAATGGCGAATGTGCTGTATGAAATGAAGTAGGGAGGTCTAACAAGGAGCTGTTGTGCTTAATCCCCGTGGAGTGTACGGAGACAGCAGCCTAATCAGATCTGTACTCTGCTGCTTTATCTCTGCAACTGCTCTGTCTATTGCTCGATCACGCGTTTCGCTGGAGGAGCTTGATGGGCCGCGACTCTGAGACGGATTAATGACTCCGTGGACGATATGTTTTCATCTGAACTATGAGTCTACTAAAGTTTGCTCTTTTTTTCCTTTCTTTAAAACAAAACCTTCGTCGCCTTCAGTGAACAGCAGATAATTGAGGGAAAAAAGGAGTGCTGAGGAAGCATTTCTGCCTTTCTTGTTTTCCTTTTCGCTGACTTTTATCCACGGAGATATCACTCGTGTTTGTTGCCAATCTTGTGTGTGGCCTTGTTCCACGCTCATATTGTTTTCTCTCCATTGCTCTCATTTACAGCCTAGTCAGACTCTTTAAACAATTGTCAATGAGTGCCTGTTCACATCAGTGATATGCATACGCATGCCCAGGCACGGTGATGACAGAGGATTTCTTTTGCTTGTCTCGTAAGAATCGGGCCGTAGACTGATCCATCGGGATGATTTGAGATGAACATTTTGTGACAGTGCCTACAGTAAGAGTTCTTCGCTCCCCAATCCCACCACACACCGACCGTGAATCAGCGCTTCCTGACGCACAGCTCCACTGGCACAACATTGCACGACAGATATTCGCACGCTGTCCCTCGATTGTGATAGACCCCAGAGAGAGTCGGCTGAGAATAAGAGAGTCTGGAGACTGGGCGTGGGAGATGAATTGCGGATGACTCTCGATGCATCTCAATTTCTCCTTTTTTTAAAAAAAAATTTGGCAAGTGTCCCATCCCTTCTTCTCTTACTTTTTCCCCTGCGCAAATGTCTAACTCTTGTGTGCAGTGAAATATTAATCCACATCAAGAATTCATCACAACGGCTTTAAAAGATTTTAAAAAGTAATAATAGTGCCGGGGGAGACTTGGAGTCATCTCTTTGTTGGCTCGATATGGGTGGAGGATGATTGCCAGAGACGCTTGTCCAGTGGATTTCTGTGATGGAGCAGCTCTGCATGCCTTGCATGATTAAACATGCAGCACAATGCAAGCTGAGTTTCAGACAGAATTAATTGATTGAGAGAACAAATTGATTGTTTTTTTTTGTTTGTTTGTTTTTAAAACAGCATGTGGCTTTTTTATGATTCTGTCAAGCTGTGAAAGGCTGAACAAGTGAATAAAGAGAAGCACACTAAAGTGAAGAACCTAGTAAGAAAATTCATAGTGTCTTTTCAGGAACTCAAGTGAGTGTTAAGAGTTGTGGGCTGTGTTGCGTAGAGCCCTCATTCATACTACTCTTGGCCTCTGTAATATGCTTCTGTCTCCTTCCCTATCGCCAGA